TGAGACCAAATGGGCAACAGTTACTGTGTAGCATAGGTTAGAAGGTTGGGGAGCAGTGAGACTAAGTGAATGGGAATGGAACAACTAGAATGGAAATAATGAGAGTGTTGATACAAAGTGAAGAATGTAACCAATGTCACTGGACTTTATGTGCAGAAATTGTTGAATGGGAACCTGTTTTGCTGGGTATACTTGCACCAAAAATACAACAAAAGTTTTAAAAAATCTAAACCTGTTTTTAGGATAACTCTTTAATACTAGTTGGTAGCTAAAGGCTTGTATATAAGCAAAATGTTACTTCCAGGAAAACAAAAGCATAGGGAAATTTTTTACTTATTATAAACCTAAAGAGATTAGGCATGAATTTAGCGGATCAGTTAGTCCTCCTTCCTACTGATCGTAAATTTTAACTTGATTCAGAACGTATAATTTTTACTATTTTGTTAGTTGCTTTAAAATAATGCTATTTTTTAGCTTCCTTTGTAGGACTCATGACTCTCTTATACAGCTTTTGATCTTTCCTGGAGTATGTACTTTCCTTTATATCATAAATCAAAAGAAACATGTCTTCATCTCATCCGGAATGGTATGTTATCTTCTTGAAGATACTCTGCTGAGTCTGACTTTCCAGGCGTACTGCAAAGCTGTATTACTATGATTTCTTCTTAATCTACTCTTGATTCCACTGTTACATGTTGTTAGGTTGGAATTTTGTTTTAAATTAGATGTCTGCCTCTTTCTTGGGTTTTTCACTTTCATTTTTCAATATTTTCAGAAAAGCTGAACAGGAAGTAAACAGTGCCTATGCATGACTGAAAGTGTCTTCATTTTTCCTTGATAAATGCTGCTGTTGTTGTTAGGTGCTGTGGAGTCAGTTCCAACTCATAGCGACCCCATGTACAACAGAACAAACACTGCCTGGTCCTGCGCCATCCACACAATCATTATCCTTGAGCCCACTGTTGCAGCCACCGTGTCAGTCCAATCCATCTCATTGGGAGCCTTCCTCTTTTTCCCTGACCTTTCACTTTACCAAGCATGATGTCCTTCTCCAGGGACTGACCCCTCCTGATAACATGTCCCAAGTATGTGAGACGAAGTCTCGCCATCCTTGCTTCCAGGGGCATTCCGGTTGTACTTCTTCCAAGACTGATTTGTTTGTTCTTTTGGCAGTCCATGGTATATTCAATGTTCTTTGCCACCATCACAACTCAAAGGCGTCAGTTCTTCTTTGGTCTTCCTTATTCCTTGTCCAGCTTTCACATGCATATGAGGCAATTGAAAACACCATGGCTTGGGTCAAGTACACCTTACTCTTTAAGGTTACATCATTGCTTTTCAACACTTTAAAGAGGTCTTTTGCAGCAGATTTGCCCAGTGCAATGCATCTTTTGATTTCTTGACTGCTGCTTCCATGGGTGGTGACTGTGGATCCAAGTGAAGTGAACTCCTTGAGAACTTCAACCTTTTCTCCGTTTATCATGATGTTGCTTATTGTGATGATTTTTATGTTGAGGTGTAATCCATCCTGAAGGCTGTGGTCTTTGATCTTCATCAGTAAGCGCTTCAAGTCCTCTTCACTTTCAGCAAGCAAGGTTGTGTCATCTGCATACCACAGGTTAATAGTCTTCCTCCAATCCTGCTGCCCCATTCTTCTTCCTATAGTCCAGTTTATCGGATTATTTGCTCAGCATACAGATTGAATAAGTATGGTGAAAAGATATAATCACACCTTTCCTGACTTTAAACCACGCAGTATCCCCTTGTTCTGTTTGAACGACTGCCTCTTGATTTATGTACAGGTTCCTTATGACCACAATTAAGTGTTCTGGAATTCCCATTTTTCACAGTGTTATCCATAATTTGCTATGATTCACACAAATGCCTTGCATAGTCAATAAAACACAGGTAAACACCTTTCTGGTATTCTCTGCTTTCAGCCAGGATCATTTGACATCAGCTATGATATCCCTGGTTCCATGTCCTCTTCTGAATCTGGCTTGAATTTCCAGCAGTTCCCCTTGATGTACTGCTGCAGCCGCTTTTGATTAATAGTTTAATTTAGAATTATAGGAACAAAGTTGAACTCACCCGTCCATATATATGACACCTAAACACAACTTTCAACCTTTACAATTTTATCTTCTATCATCCAGTTGCTCATGAGAAGTGTAATGCCAATCTTCACATTCCTTTGAAGATAGCCAGTTTTCTAATAATTTAGTTTTTTAATATTGTTATTAATCCTTAAGAGTTCTCATGTTTTTTTCGTTTTTTCCACTTTACACTTGGTAGGTCCTTCCTATCTGAAAACTCCCAATTTTCATAACCAGCCAAGGAAATTTTCTGATTTTATCGGTCTGTTTTTCTGCTCTCATTTTCTCCAACTGTTATTAGACCAGTGTTGGATCTCCTGAATATAACGTCTATGATTCCTAACTTTCTCATCTTCCACATCTCCATCATTTTGCTCTATGCTCTGGACTTCCTCAATTTTATGTTGCGGTTCCCCAATTGAGCCTCCTCACTGTCACTTTTATGTCATCTCATTTTTTATTTCCACAATTGTTTACATTTTCAAGAACTTTCCTATTCTGTTCCTTATACACAACGATTTGTTCTTTATGGATGCAGTAGCTTCTCAAATTTCTCTGAAAAGGGTTAACAGACAAACAACACTTGTTACATGACTAAGTAGCCTCTTTTCCACTTAAACCTTTACTGCTTCTATGGACTGACTACTTTAGGTCACTCCGAAATAGTTCACTGATGTATGCCTTTCATTGTGATGACTGCCTAGGTTACCCTAAAGTGAAGTTGGCTTCCCTTGAGAATGTAAGTGTGGGTGGTATAGCACAGGATTAAGTTAATGGGGTCAGGGAGGAGGGGAAAAAGTCTGCTTAACAAACTAAATGTCCGTTCCAACTCACTACTGTTAACCCGTGCCAGAGCAGTCGCAACAAAATGAGAGGTAAACCCATGATTGGAGGAGCTGAATAAATGTACTCTTTTATAACTAGAAAATAAGTGGATGGAAAAATGAGTAGACAGTGAACAGACAACGCTAGTTACCCCGTTTTTGGGCCACTAACTTACAAACCTCTTAATCATTAAACCGTCCTCTGCTGGATTTGTTTCAGCTTGTCACAATGCCTCTTAAGAATGAAACTTAGCTAAGCACAGAGCAGTAACACACACCAGTACCTAAATCTACCCATTTAAAAGGTTCCAGCAGACTTAATGTATTCAGTTCTGAAGCATCTACTTTCCAATTCCTGGAGAGTTGCTATAATGAGTAACTCAGCCCTAAAGTGGATAGCGTACTGTTCTGAATCACGTATACCGGTCCGAGCCGTATCTATTCTTGAATACAGACTTTGTGAAGGTGATTCCTCAGATCCTACTGGTTACGTGATTAAAACTCAAGCTCTTTCTCATTTTCAGTGGTCTGGTCTCCCTGATTTTCAGTTCCTAATTATTAGTCACCCTTGAAGTTGGCATTTTATCTTACTGAATTTGGCAAAAACTGAGCCTAGTCTTCTTTGATCCCAATTTCCTAATCACTGCTCTTTGTGCACACACCCTAGTGAAAAGGCAGGAAAAGTTTACACTGTTTTTGTGTACGTATTGCATTCGACAGTGTTGCCCAATTTCTAGGACTGTAGATAGGCCTAATCTAGAATTTGTTCAACCCTGGTCTCTCAATTATACTTAAATTTTAAACATTTTCTATAGCCAGGCACTGTGCTGGGTTCAAAACTCACATACCTTCATCCACTCATCATCCCACCCCCTCCAAGTGCAAACTAGTTGGTACAGAGTTCAGCCAGCAAACGTGTTGCCACTGGAAAAAAACTAAGCTTAAATAAGGCAATCACTGCAAGTTACAAGCTGATGAAATATTAAGGTCTCCGCCAAACCACCCCAGAGCAACCTGGGAGTAGTTCTCTGCAATACTACTGTCAATGACCAAGGAAGTCACAGAGAATATAATTTTAAACTACATCTTTTATGACTTTTTGTGTACAAACTAGAAATGATTAATCCCAAGATTCCCACTATTTTAAAACCTCCTTCAGTCAACTGCATAAGCAACTATTTTTAATTCCTTATTTTGTCTTGTACCTAGTAAAGGCTTCTGTTAATCAAATACCTAATCTCTTTCCTTGCCTAATGAGAATCTAGAAGTATCTCTCCCCTTCCTGAATATACAGTACAGATGCCCATGAAGACTTTGAAACAAATATTAGTTCAATAATCCCAAGTTCTTTCAGAAGATATACATGACTATTTCTTCAAATTTCCTCAGGGAGTATTTTTCAGTACTAATCCCCCAAAATTATGCCCAAATTATCCAAGATAAAGTCTTATGTTCCATGAATACATTTCTCCAGGTCATGATTTGTAAATTCAACTGTTATACGCTTTGTGGGAAACCAGTTGACGTTTAATTGTGGTATTTTAAAACCGTACAATTGATGCCTCTTCCCTCCTCCCCCATACTTAGTCTCTTAAAATGACAGGAAAAAAGCCAACAAATCACAGGTTCAATGGGTTTAATAAATTCACCCCTTCAGTTCCTATTTGCAGCACCCAATATTCCTCTGAGACACCAGCCAGACCCGCAGTGGCCAGCAGTAACCTCAGACCTCCAGGGTTAGAAGTTCCGCTTCCCTAAACTTTCTGCGTTGCAGTGGTACTTGCTGGAGTACTTTATGTACCAGTGAAGAAAGCCTTTCCCCTTCAAGGGGAAGACAATCATTCCTCAAAACCCAACAGATACGGCTGTGGGGTCTTTCCTCCTGTCGCCATCTCTTCAGACTCATTTTTTGCAGTGGAACAAGAGAGACCCAAACGTAACCTGAGTTACAAAAAACAAGCCAGTGAGGGCTGTACAGGGAGTGACCAGGAGCACCTGGGGTGCTCCTCTACTGGCCACGTCCAATGTATGTGCTTCACAGAAAAACGACAAAAGTCACAAATCCACAAACTACAACAGCTAGGTTTACAAAATCCATTCATACAAGGGTGGAAGGCAGGGAGGGAAAGTGGGAGGGTAAATGGCACAGGGAGAGAAAGTATTCAAATCAGTCCAGGCACAAGGTCTGGCAAATGCTAGAAAAGAGCTACAGAAAAACCTGTGGTCCTTTCATACTCAAGGTGTTAAAAACCCACGTCCTGGTGTCAGGAAGATTCCGCCTAAGTGCGCCAGGGACAAAATTCCAATTCCTCAGAGAAAAGGGCATACGCAGAGGGCCCTTGGCAGAGGGGGTCCTGCCTTCCCTGGGCCGAGGAGGTGAAAGTCAGTGGCCTGCAGCAGCCTTCAGTTTGGCAGGAGATGGATGTGGTGAGGGAAACTTCTCGGCAGACGCTGAGCCACTCAGAGCAGACTGCAGGTAGACCGTCTTGTGGAAGAGTCTGTTGCTCAGGAAGACCACCAAGGAGAAGAGGCGCAACTGAAAAAGGCTAAGAGGCAAGAGATTCGGCTTATCAGCTCTCCGCTGGATAAAAATGACAAGTTATTTTACAACAACAAACTGAAACCCACACAGTGAAAAACAAGAGAACTGAGGTTTGATCACAGAAGTGCAGATATTCAGACACGTGCATGGAACAGGAAGCAACTAAAGGATGCACTGGGTCCTATCACTGCTGGGAATGTAAAGCAGTCACCAGTTTTGAAGCACTGGGGCTCTTTAGAGGATGTTCTATTTCAGAAGATTAATTCCGATTCAAGAAGTACGTTTCTACGGCTGATTCAGAGCACAAAGCTCAAGCAATGTCTGAAGATATCCCATGCTACATGTGGTTCAGTTCCAAGAGGGAGTCAGTTATGCCCACTAAGACACACACTGAGCGCTACTGGACAGCAAGAGCGTGCAAAAACCCAGGAACAGACCTGAGATTTCTAATACAAGTATCCTCACTGACTTAACCAAAATTCATCAAACATTATCACTCAACACACATAACTGAGCTTTTCTCTGAAGTGATTAAACTTTTGGAGTGCTACTGTGATTGCTAAACTCATTTTAAAAAACTGCATTTTACGATCATTATCAATAAACTCATATGGCTAGATGATACAGCCCATGACTTTTTTAAAAACTTGGCCATTCTTACAAAAATGAACCCAACTACATGTGTCCACAAGTGTTTCTTATAGTCAGTGTATTGTAGACTATGTAAAATAGAACCAATTTTTGGAAGATGTACACATATAAATGTGCATATATGCATAAGGAAAAGCTTGGAATATATCCCAGAAGTGTTTTAAACTGTATATTAAAGTTTTTCTGCAATGAAGCTATTAATTAAAAAAAAAAAAAAAAAAAAAAAAACTCGTTCACATAATTGCAGCATTACAGCCCCATTCATCACAGATTAATACTTACTATGCTTTGCCAGGGGTCTTTGCTTCATTGGCGCTGATAATGAATAAAGGAAAGAGGATGGAGAAGAGGCAGCCACTGTAAAAAGAAGAAATAATCAGTCACCTAATTATTCCTAACAGCTATGATTTTGGAGAAGATATGAAAAACTCATAACTCCTTCACCTCCAGCGCAAACATCATGGCTTGGTGAAACCTTAATGTAGCAATCATTCCTTTCAAAAACAACAAAGGTTTTTTTAAGCACTGGCTTTATTTAACATAGCTCCAGGAGACAATATAATAGAAAGAATATGGGTACAGAATCATGCAGACTTGACTTTCATGCCAACTGGCAAAAGTCTGTGAGAAAAATCCTATAGGCCTCCTGATGATCAAGTAAGAAGGCAGATGCCTAGCGTAGTAGCAAACACGTAGAAGGCACCGGTATGTGGGTCTTTTTTTTTTTTTTGTACTAAACCCGTTGCTGTAGAGTCAATTCTGATTCATGGCGACTCTAGAGGACAGAACAGAACTGGCCCATAAGGTTTCCAAGGAGCAGCTGGTGGATTCAAACTGCCGATCTTTTGGTTAGCAGCTGAGCTCTTAACCACTGTGCCACCAGGGCTTCTTACTTTGATTAAAAAACCCAAACTCAACGCCACTGAGACGATTCTGACTCATAATAACCCTACAGGATAGAAGAGAACTGCCCCATAAGGTTTCCAAGGAGCAGCTGGTGGATTCAAACTGCTGATCTTTTGGTTAGCAGCTGAGCTCTTAACCACTGTGCCACCAGGGCTTCTTACTTTGATTAAAAAACCCAAACTCATCGCTGTTGGGTCGATTATGACTCATAGTGATCCTACAGGACAGAGCAGAACTGCCCCATAGGGTTTCCAAGGAGTGGCTGGTGGATTCCAACTGCCGACCTTTCTTGGTTAGCAGGCAAGCTCTTTAACCACTGCGCCACCAGGGCCCCAAACTTTGACGAGTCCCCTTCAAATCTCTGTAGCCAAATTACCTGATGATGTATGAGGACTGCATGGCTGTGAGGAAAGCCAGGGGCAAACCAAACCCGAAGTAGTAAGGCCAGTTCCTTTCTATGTTCGACAGCCGCTGGTGCATTTCAACTCCTACAAGAAGGGAGGCAATACAGTCACACTGCATATGTCACTCCGGTCAAACGACCAGGTAGACAAACTACCAGAAGGCTGAGTTTTAGGTACAGATCTGCCACTTAGAAGACAGCTAGTGTATGACTTAGAATTGTGCAAATCTGATACAAAGTTTTTATTCAAAGTTCTGTTTACAATAATCACAACTTTACAGCTGGCAGGTAAACGAATTATGAATTACAACACCAGCATCCTTTTCAGGATTAGTTTTGAAAAAAGCAAGATATCAAATAAAAAAGCAGGATTAAATCCTCTGGCAACATGGAAGCTCCCTATTGGCAAGGGGGCAATTTCCTTCCAAAGATGGTCTGTCTGCCAAAGATCTAAGTACTCACCAGCTTAACAAGTCTGCTCAGCAGCAGCATTTCCAACTACGTCTCAAAGTTCTGAGTATTTTTATTTCTGTTAGAAAGATGAACTTGCCTTTATTGAACCAGCGATATTCAAAGCAGTAGAGTGAATACAGAAGGGACATATGCAGGAGACTGACCAGCTGACCAACAAGATGGATGGGAAAGAGACTCACGAACATCCCCTAAAAGAACAAATACGAACATCTTAACTCCAAAGCCTCAGAGACCGACATTGTCCACCTGCCTCTCTGAACCATCACTATCTGCCAACAAAGCCTCCCAGCTGCTTCTCAAGCTTCAGAACAGCAGAATGAACACTGTCCAGGGTGGCAGGGAAGAGCAGGTAAGTTCACGTTTCCTCCAGCTAAGATGTCTAAATTCTCTAATGCGTTTGTTCTGTGAACAGACGACTTTATGTTTTACCAAGTCAAACTGATCCTCCAGGATGACGTGCTGTGTTTATGCTATGACTTCGCGAACCTCCCCTTTCGCTCCATGTGTCTGGATAGCTGCACTTCCTTGATCAAATGTCAGTTCTCTTGTTTTTCATGTACAAATGCTAGTACAAATGCTACACCCTGTCCTTGGGGAGCGCCCTCTAGTGACACTCTATTACCTGCCCATGGGCCCAGCAGGCTGGTCTCACCTGGAGAAGGAAAAGAGCCTGAAGCAAAAGGTTGAAGAGCATATCGGCGATTATTTTGCTGACACTAGGGAACGGGTGAGGCTTCCTTCCTGATACTTCAAACGCCAGATCAGCTATATCCTGTAACAGAGAAAGCAGCCCACCAAAACGTGAGTTAAATGACCCCGGTAAATACCCCCAAAGGTAAGGCCACTAGAACTGCCACGTGAAAAAAAGCACCTAGAGATATGACAGTGAGATGCTCTAGTGGCCTGAGACAATCATTCTGTTCCACGAGAGCACAGAGATCACCCACTGGCTGCTTGCCCAAAAAAGGTCAAGGCTGAGCAATAAGCTGCCTATGTGGCTGCTGCCTTCACCACTGAACCTGCCACCTGTCAACCCACCATGCTGTCAGACCCAAACTCTACTCTGCCCTGGACCTACCTGGAACCAAATGGCATTGACCACTTTGCTGAGCACAAACAGGGGAAGCACCCAAAGAGCACTGAAAACTGACGTGAGGAAGAACTCCAGCCACGACCAAACATCTCCATGTAGTGATGGATCCCCTGGGGGAAAAAGATTAGTCCAACCAGAGAAACGGAAAACCAACCAAAAAAACCAAACCCAATCCAGTGCCGCCGAGTCGATTCCGACTCATAGTGACCCCACAGGACAGAGCAGAACTGCCCCAAAGGGTTTCCAAGGAGCAGCTGGTGGATTTGAACTGTTGACCTTCTGGTTAGCAAACAAGCTCTCAACCTCTGCGCGAACAAAAGACCCAATAAGGAACTCCTTTTTTGTGACTATTCCTTTTCACCACGCGTATTTCTGTTTCTTGCTGAAGCTTCACTATTCCTAGCTGATACAGTCTTATTCCTAGCTGTTGCTGTATGGAGGGAGCCTTGGTGGTGCAGTGGTTAAGTGCTTGGCTGCTAACCGAAAGGTCAGCAATTCGAACCTACCAGCCGCTCTGGAGAAAGATGTGGCAGGGTGCTTCCCTAAAAAGATTACAGTTTTGGAAACCCTATGGGGCAGTTCTACTCTGTCCTATAGTGTTGCTATGAGTTGGAATCAACTTGACAGCAACAGGTTTTCTTCGAGTTGTTGCTGGGTACTGCAGAGTCCATTTTCAACTCACCGCGACCACATGTGACAGAGTAGAACTGCTCCATAGGGTTTTCTAGGCTGTAATCTTTACAGAAGCAGATCATCAGGTCCTTCCTTCCATGGTGCTGCTGGTGGGCTCGAACTGCCAATCTTTCAGTTAGCAGCCACATACAACAAATTCTGGTCACAACTCCCATTTGGAGCAACTACAGACACATGCTGTCTACTGTGAAATAAGCCTGTTCATGTGACAGTGACTGTGATGTCGACACTAAGAGTACACCATTTCCAAGAAACCACTGGGGTTTAAATCCCAGTTCTGCCATGTACTAATGGTTTATTTTAACCTTGGTAACTAACTTCCATTTTCTCATCCATAAAGTGGATATGATAATAATACCCATTCTCGTAGGGTTGTTGAGAGCTTTGAGTTAAAAACAAGTTAAGAGGTTTGAGCTGAACACACAGGAAGTGTTTAATAAACTGAGGGAGACTGGAAACATCTCCCACCTCCATCCCTTGTGAACAGCAAGGGTACTACTTACCAATAATGTGTGCTGTCACTGACTGAAGGCCAGGAATAAACACTCGGTAAAACAAGAGGAGACTCAACTGAAGGAAAAGTAAAAAGGCAAACATCAAAACCACCTTTAAAACGAGAGTTTCAAGTTTCAGTGTAATTACCTTCCAGGTGGGGGTACCTTATATAAACTAGGGGGCCTGTCACTCTTTGAACCATCCCTATCTGCACCAAAACTGGATCCATTTCTACTTTGCGATACTCCTGCTGAGAGGTACAAACTTAACACTGCCTACAATATAGTGAAATTTTGTAGGGCATACAAGAATAACATTCTATGTCCCTCTTAGACAAGTAGATATAAGAGACCAAAGGGGCAGCTTCTGTCCGGAGGTGAGAGGGGAAGGCAGAGTTAGGAGCTGGCTGAATGTTCATGGGGAATCAGGGGCAGAGGGGAGGAGTGTGCTGTCACAGAATGGGGTGAGTGGTTGGGGTCTCCTAACAACGTATGTTAAAAAAGAAAAAAATTCTATATGGGAGACTAACTTGAAATGTAAACTTTATTTAATTACAACAATTAAAAAAAAAAAAAAGAATAACATTCTAAATATTCCACCAAAATACAGGCATATGCTAAGTATGCAGTGATGTTTTAAGTCTGAACTACTATCCGAAAACACAGCATCTGGAAAATTTGATTACAATGAGTTGAATTACATTAGTTCCAAGTCAAAGGAAATATTTAACCACTTGTTCTTCAAAAAACCCAAATTTCACCTAAGCCTGCATTGGTTACCAGTTCATTAACTTTTTGTGGTATAGGTTTCAATGGTAATTAATTCTAAAAGGCCACTAAGACAGACGCAGGGAGAACCTTGATCTTGTCCAGCCACATCTGTCCTTCCCCTATGACGTCCAAGGTTGTTCTTAGTCAAAACATCCAGACAACGATAATAGAGACTATTACCAGCAACAGCACTAAAACTTCTGAATGACTCACTTTTTAAAAACTGCAAGTATCTGTTCAGGACTACGCGACACGCATTCACATCCACACAAGCGTTCTCTCTTGGATGGGAATAAAAGGACTGTAAGCGCAGAGCACGCTAAGTTATATGCTTAAGTAAACGTCAGCAGGTGAAAGCTACTTGTCAGGATTTCAAGGAAAAACAACTGAAAATCTGTATCATATCGCAACCATCTGCAGATGCTTCTAAGACCACGGGCAATCACAAGGCACCTGGAATTTGAGGAGAAGAACTTACCCAGAATACTCCTCCATTCCAAGCGCAGCACTGGAAAATTCTACTAACAATACGGGGCTCACTGGAAAAGATCACACGTGCTTAGGTTAAAAGGCGTATAGGTTCTTTCCTTGCTGTTATTCAGTAGCTCTCCATTTTCTATCTTTTTTGGTACCTTTTTTTTTTTTTAATTTCAATTGTGGTGAAATATAATAAAACATTTGCTATTTAAGTCATTTTTAGGTTTACAATTCAGTGATTTTAATTATGTCCAAGGTGTCACCGTGCTGTGCAACTGTCACCACTTTTAGCTTCGGGACCATGTGACTGACTTCTCAGCACCGAATGCTGTCCCAATGTTCCCCTAATAGCAGTCAATGAGAAGTTGATAAGAACTATTTCTGAGGAACCAGCTTTTTTAAAAAATTATCTTCCGAAATCTGGGGTTGGACAAGATTAAAAAACAGAGTCTGAGGTTCTTCTAACAATAAATAAATCCAGAGGTATTCATCAATCCAATACATGTGGTTCTCTATTTACCATTCTGATTTGTTTTGTTAAAAATACGACATTTTGAGCAAAGATTATTGCCAGACCCTAAATTTAATTCAATGCAAAAAAAAAAAAAAATCATCCATGACATTTTTTCTGGAAGAAAGTATAAAAACCAAATAATAGGGTACTGATACTCCAAAAAGGAGCCCTGTTGGCGCAGTGGTTAAGAGCTACAGCTGCTAACCAAAAGGTCCGCAGTTCGAATCCACCAACCACTCCTTGGAAACTCTTTGGGGTAGTTCTACTCTGTCCTATAGGGTCACTGTTAGTTGGAATCGACTCAGCGGCAACGGGTTTGCTTTGGTTTGGATACGCCAAAAAGAAGTCCCGGTGGCACAGTGGTTAAAGCACTTGGCTGCCAAGTGAAAGGTCAGCGGTTCAAACCCACCAGCCGCTCCATAGAAGAAAGATGTGGCAGTCTGCTTCCATAAAGATTACAGCCTTGGAAACCCTACGGGCCAGTTCTACTCTGTCCTATATGGTTGCTGTGAGTCGGAATTAACTTGATGGCAACAGGTTTTTTTTTGTTTGTTTTTGATACTCCAAAAGCCTTAATTCTGTACTAAGAATTGGTCACTTCCTAAAGTACCCCTCCCTTGGACATCTCCTGACAGCACCTGCCCTCCTCACCTCTCCTGCTTCCGCTCTATACTCTGGGCTCTCCTCTGTGCCAGGACGCTGCTTGCCCTTCTTCGACGCTGTTCCTCCCTCTTTTGCTGTATTCGAGCATCCAGCTTTGAGATGGTACATATACCCCAGATGGAGTCCTTGATTCCCTATAGAGAAGGAGATGAAGATTAGGGATCAGAGAAGAATCTCCAAAGTTACCTGCAGTAAAGTGACAGAGTGGAAACCGTTGTACTTATTTTGTTGCAAGGCACAAGGGACCTTGGCTGTTTCATTTCGCTAATTTTTAAACTTTGAAATAACTTCCTACTTACAGAAGAATTTCAAGAATGGAGATCTGCCCCCCAAATACCCTTTATCTAGATTCACCAGTTTAATATTTTGCCACATTTATTATCATTCTCATACATATGCATGTATGTGTGTGTATATGTATAATATACACACACACACTTTATTTCTGAATCATTTGAGTAGGTTGCTACATCATCCCTTCCCCTTTAGTTCTTCAGTGTGTACTTCCTAATAACAAAGATATTCTTTTTCCACAACCATAGCAGTTACCAATCCACAAACTTTAATACTGTAACAAATACTTTAATCCACAGTCCATATATAGGAGTCCTGGTGGTGCAACGGTTAAGCACCCAACTACTAACCAAAGGGTTGGCAGTTCAAACCCACCCAGTGGGCCCATGGAAGAAACACCTGGCAATCTGCTTCCATAAAAATTATACCCAAGACAACCCTATGGGGCAGTTCTACTCTGTCTCACGGGGTTGCTATGAATCAGAATCGACCGGACAGTGCTCAACAACAACGGTCCCTATTCCAATTTCCCCAACTGTCCAATAATGCCCTCTGGCATTTATAAGAAACCTAGGGTTTAAATCCCATCCACTGTCAGTTCTCACCTGAACCAATCCTGAATAACACGGCTGCAGAACAGTGATTTTCCAATCCCTCAACACTTATCAGTAATATAAAGCCACTTGTTGTCCTTCCCTTTACTCTTTCAGTATTGATTAAATGCCTACTGTATGCTCTATATCCTAAACTCCACAGATGTACGCAAGGATAAATAAAATACTCTGGAAAGGACTAAGGCTGAACCAAGGATAGGGAGAGACACATACTGAAACATTCACGGTAAAATGGGAAAGCCTATGATAAGGGCAGTTCACTTAAGATGGAAGCCACATGGTCGTGTAGCTGGTGGAGAGTGTCCTTAAAAAGCGTTGTTGAGTCTACAAACACAGTGACAGGCACTGCCAACCATAATCACAGAGCTCCAAGAGTAGGAAGGTTTCTATTGCTGCCAGAAACACCAGAACTGCCTGTCACCCATTCCAAAGAAATGTATCCATCCATCCATCCATCCATCCATCCATCCAATCCATCCAATCCATCCAATCCAATCCATCCAATCCAACCAATCCATCCAATCCATCCAATCCATCCAATCCATCCATCCATCCATCCACCTACTCACCCCATATCCCGAGTATCTTCTATGAGCCAGACATTGGTCATGTTGAAATACTCAAGAAATTTACAACGTAACGGGAAAAGTACACAAGTAACCCCCCAAAAATTATACCATAGTTCAATAAGTACCGTAACAGATTTTTGTCCAAAGTAGGGTGGGGTAATCTCATGAAGAGACAGAAAAAGGCATTCTGGAGATGACGGCCGAGCTGGGTTAAAGGATGGCATTCTCACCTACTGTTATGGGCCAGAACCAACCTGAGAGACAGCCTCAGTGCAGAGCAACGGGCCAGCGTGTGCACCTCCTGCCACCAGGAGCACAGGCACAGCGTGCCCCCAACCTTTTGTCTGTCGCTGATTTTTAGTCTCGTTTTGTTTTTAACTTCTAAACCTTCCACAAATGGCTTTTCTTACACAGCAAACTCAAATATTTAAGATAGTTATGTTCACATATTTGAGGGCTAAGATGACACATCCCTCCCTTTGGAAAGAGTTTAGTAGGGCTGCAAATGTAACAGCATATTGTAGAACTGATGCAGGGCTGAAATTTATAGCATGAGAATGGCAAGTCAAGGAGGTAAGGATTCTGAAAGTACATCATATCACATAAAGCGTCTTTAACTTTTCTAAGATTCGCCTTCATGTCCCCCCCCTTTTACTCAAAGGTAGCAATGTTTTAAACCCTCATATTAAAGAACGTCTCCACCCCAGAACTGATTTCTCTCGTGCCCCTGGGGATATAGATAGAGGGACTACAACTAGGGTGTGAGACCTCAGACATCGACTGAGGTAATGAAATTCTGTGTGACTGGTAATATGGGTGACCCGGCCCTAGACAGTTCTTTATGAGCCATTTTCCTAAGGTATCCTCATCGTCCGCACCTGGTAGAACGGGGGAAAAAGGGTCTGGAGCCCACTAACCAGGGTTTCAATACTAAAGACACACTCACTAGACCGGTCTGCCAAGATTCTGCAAGATACAGGATAATTAGGATGAAAACTTCTACGGGAAGGATCCAGCAAACATGGTCATTCCAAAAATGCCTAAAGGAAACCTAAGTGCCCATCAACAAATGAATGGATAAACAAATTATGAACAGAGAATACACACAACGGAATGCTACGCAACGATAAAGAACAATGATGAATCCCCGAAACTTCTCACGACATGGGTGAATCTGGAAAGCATTATGCTGAGTGAAGTAAGTCAATCACAGAAGGACAAATATTGTATGAGACCACAATTATAAAAACCCAAGAAAAGGTTTACACACAGAAAAAAATAATCTTTGACGGTACGAGGGAGGGGAGGGGCGGAGAGGGGAAATCACTAAGTTGGTAGCAGACAAGTGATAGCTTTGGTGAAAGGAAAGACAACACAAAATATAGGGGAAGTCACCACAACCTGACCAAGGCAAAGCCATAGACGTTTCCTGGACACATCCAAACACTTGAGGGACTGAGTTACTAGGGCTGAGGGCTGAGGACCATGGTCTCGGGAGACATCTAGGTCAACTGGCATAACACAGTCCATAAAGAAAATGTTCCACATCCTACTTTGGTGAGTAGCGTCTGTGGTCTTAAAAGCTTGCGAGCGGTCATCTAAGGTACAGCTATTGGTCCCATCCAATCCAGAGCAAAGGATGATAAAGAAAACCAAAGCTATAAAGAAAATATTAGTCTAAAGGACTAACGGACCACCTGAACCACGAACCACAGCCTCCAAAGAACCAGATGGTGCCAGCTACCACTGACAGCTCTGATAAGGATCACAATAGAGGGTCCCGGTCAGAGCAGGAGAAAAATAAATGTACAACAAATTTCAAATTCATGCACGCACGCACGCGCGCACACACACACAACCAGACTTACTGGTCTGACAGAGACTGGAGAAACCCCTGAGACTATGGCCCTCAGATACCCTGCTAACTCAGAACTTAAGCCACTCCCAAAGTCCACCTTTCAGCTAAAGAGCAGACAGGCCTATAAAACAAACAATAACACACGTAAGGACCGTGCTTCGTAAGTTCAACCAAATATACAAGACCAAGTGGGCAAAGATGAGAAGGCAGGAAAGGATAGGAAAACTGGACGAATGGACATGGGGAACCAGGGTGGAAAGGGGGAGAATGCTGACACACTGCGGGGACTGCAACCAGTGTCTCACAACAATTTGCATATAAATTTTTGAATGAGAAACTAACTTGCGCTGTTCTTTCACCTAAAGTGCAGGAGCATGCACACATGCACACACGCCCAAAGGATTTCCCAGTCAGTTTCTTCAGCAAAAAGGTCAAGAGATGACGTGCTAGAAGCAAGACGTACTCACCCTGGCAAGGTCCTGGAGAAAGGTTTTGACACTGTCAGCCATCTCTTCACCACCCAAACTATCAACTACACAGAGGAGAGGGGAGTGCCTCAAAATCGCTCATCATGACGGGCCTGGAAACAGATGAACACAGTGAGATAAAAATATTTTACTTGAAGGTAAGTTACTTTATGCACATTTCTACACGATGACATTTTCCACATACCTGTAGCTCTAACAGCAGTGCTGAAGATTCTAGCACTTCAGTAGATACTGGCAGGGTGAACTGAGCGAGGATATACCTGTAGTTGTTTAAACCTGAAATTCCCAAGTTTTTAATCACTCACCCCTCTTGCACTTTTACACGGGGAAAATGTGTTCTTAGACTAGTTGTCTCCCCTCTGATCCTCAGATTTTCTTAACTACCCCTCCTATAAACTCCTAGTACTTTTGAGGATTTGGAGATGGGTTATAATTAAATTTCACTCTCCTCTTGAAGAGATATTTATGCTTGATTTATACCCAGAGCTTCGAATCAGTTCGGAATGTGGTTCAGTAATTGAGATGAAAACGAAGGCAACATACGCTTTGCATAGTGTCTTAGTTATCCAGTGCTGCTATAAGAGAAGTACCACAAGCGGGTGGCTTTAACAAACAGAAGTTTATTCTCTCACAGTTTAGGAGGCTAGAAGTCCTAATTCAGGGTGCCAGCTCCAGGGGAAGGCTCTTTTTCTCTCTGTCGACTTTAGGGGAAGGTCCTTGCTATCAGTCTTCCCCTGGTCTAGGAGCTTCTCAGCACAGGAACCCCACGCTCTGCTCCCAGTACTACTTTCTTGGTGGTATGAGGTCCCCTTGTTTCTCTGCTCACTTTTCTTTTTTTATCTCAAAAGAGACTGACTCAAGACACAACCGAATCCTGTAGGTTGAGTCCTGCCTCATTAACATAACTGCCTCTAATCCTGCCTCATTAACACCATAGAGATAGGATTTACAACACATAGGAAAATCACATCAGAATACAAAGCGGTGGACAATCACATAATACTAGAAATCATGGCCTAGCCAAGCTGACACACATTTTTGGGGGCCACAACTCAAACCACAACACATAGCAACTAAATCTATTGCCAGTAGCATTCTGACTCCAGTAGGAAACAAACAGCACAGCAGTGACCCACTCAAAGATGGTGGCCAACTGCCACCGTTTTGAATGTGTGTCATTCTCCACAGTCCTGCCAATAATCCAATCTCCCACATCAATCTCCTGAAATTGTTGGGATCCATGCGGGAGGTTGGATTATTGGCAGCACTGTGGAGAGCAATACACACCCAAAGCACAGAGGTTGGCCGCCATCTTTGAGCAACCATCTTGGAGCAGGAACCTGTTTCCTACAGGGGTCAAAATTCAACATGCTGCCCATGTTTATGTTGGCAATTACTGAACCATTCAGTTGGAAGCCCTGTTTATACCCTCAAAACTTGACCTAAAATACAAGGGCAAGATAAAAAGTTCTTACAAAACTTATGAAATATGCACTACAGTCACACACAGGGCCTTCCAGCACAAAGAAAACTTTAAGGCATGGCATGAAACTGCCTATCTACGACAATGCATCTCCAAATAGGCCTTCCTATGTTTTCTAATTTTAAATATATATAATTTTAATAAGCATGCAAGAAACAGTGGATTTTAAACTACACCAAAAAAAAAAGACTTTATGTGTGTACATATTCTTGAAAACACTGATATTTTCCCATTTTATTTCTTAGGTAAATGAGAAATCTATTTAAAAAAATTAAGAACTTGAGAGTTCATGTATATACATACTGTTAAAAGCCTAATGCTCTTATTTTTTAAGGTGAATGGAAAACCCATTTTCGGAAACATTTTAAGAGCTTAAGATGCTAAAATTCACAATCCCCACTAAACCAAGCAAGTGTGTTCTCAACTTAAGATAAAAGACCATGACGTAATAGGATAGAACTGCACAGGCAGGTTGTATAAACCTCAAACATCAAGGTACGGCCACACAAACTGACCTTTAACCACGAAATTACACCTCATTCACCCAGCTGGACTGATGCCACTCAGAACAGGAAGAGCAGCGAATATGGCAGCAGGAAGGCCACTTGGACAACACCATATGACCATCTACTCAGGTCAAATCCTACACAGACGCATTCACTTCAGGTAGAGAAGTTTCTAGGGCCAGAAACGTTTGTTAATATTTCCACTCTTCCCTTTTAAGATAGTTAAGAGTTTCAATCATGGGAGTGCAGCCATAGAGACAGTGTTCTCAGGGTTGTGGTGAGGGTAACTCAGTGCAGGCAGATAAGACATACAAGATACTAGTTTAGAAAGACTCTTAGGCGATTCACCTCTCAACCAGATACTGCCTCACCTATAAATTAAGGTATTAAAATTCTTCATAGATTTCCTGAGTATGAAGTGCAAAAACATGAAAATAAAAACTTAAATGCTATATAAATATAAGCCCACTAAAGAATGAACCAGCTTTCGAGTTTAAGGAAGGCAACTACTTAGTCTGGATCTCCCACAGGGCACTGACAAGGAGCCTGAGGTTCCGTCTATCCCAGCCCAAAGGAACAGCTGTTATCTGAATGAACCTTGGCCAGCTAACACCTGGTTTCCGCCAGGTACCAAATGGCAGGGTGCCTACTGACCAATGGTGGCCTCTGAAGCACAAGTCACTCCAATTTTATACTGCGATCCTAGCGTCCTTCCCACAGAGATATCTGGTGAACCATCTGTTTTGACAAAAAGCAGAGGCACAAGGAAAAGTAATTGGCCACTATCTGAGACCACACAGAATGAGCCATACAGGGGGAACTACACAACTCCGCGGGGAGGTACTAAGACGCATCCGGTTCACGTAATTTTACAGAAAGGCGCACTGGGTCCCAGAAGTTAAATGACTCGCCCAAGATCACCGTATGTGAAAGGCAGCCACAGCAAACTTGAGACCATGGTGTCCCAGCCCTGGGCCGGAATTCTTTTTACTCACACTTTGCAATGAGGACTGCTGCTTAACCCGAGCATCCCAAGGCCAAACACGCTCCTTTAAAACGATGAAGCACGCCTGGCCATTCAATTCCAGTCACAAAAGCTTATTAAGCATCTACTGAGGCACGGCTCTGCACTTCAGTTTCTAAATCCCGACACCCAATCCCAGAGAGCAGGAAGCCGACTCACTGCACTCCAGGTGCCGAAAGGTGAACCTCCTCACTTGGCACCGGACTCCCGGCACTGCCCAGCCCACAGGTCCGCTCGGCCCCGGGCTCCCTCGGCTCCGTCCCTCCCCCGCGGCTCCCAGGCCATTTCGGCTGCAAACTGAAGCCTCCGTCCCCCAGCCACGACGTGCTCCAGGGGTCGGCGCCGCCCAGGCTCAGCCCCGGTCACTCGGAGAGCCACCGACACCGCGTCGCACCTGCGCGGCGTCCAGGGGCCCTGCCTCCCGCGCCCTGCGGCCCCTTGCCGCCCGGGGTCGTCTCCCGCCGCCGCTGCCCGGAGCCTCAAAAGCCCCACTCGGGCCCTGCCTGCCCTCACACGCCCTGGTGGACCCCGCCGCCCAGGCCGGCTGCCC